TGGGATTTAAGTCATGGATACCGTGGCTTTTACAGTAGGAATGCTGATTAATCCATTCTCATAAATAAAAGGGGAGAAACAGTGAGAGAGAGCTTTGAGAGAGATATGAGAACATGGTGCTAACCCAGCCTGTAGTCTGACAAGATAGAGTAATGCCCTTATCTGGAAGACACAATTCTGCAGTTCAAGTGCACACTGCAGTCAATACACAGGCATGTTAAAGAGGATATGCATGTTTATCTTGGAGCAGAACACAATATGATTTTTATTTCAACCCAAATGGTAAGAGCTAAAATTTCTATCACTGCATTCACATAGAGCTTACACTTCTGGCTTTAGCCATGAGTTTTTACCAGCTAAGTCTTTTGCTGGAGATACTGAGCAGCAAAAGCGGTGTACCTTGTCTCCTCTATAATTTGCGGAATTTTCTCATAGCAGAAACAATTTAGTGAGCAAATGGCCACAGGAAAGGCAAAGAATCGGAGACAACATCAGGGCGGAGGGAGATACTGAGATGATCTATCCTACAGAATCTTCTTATCAAATAACATCTTAATACCAAAAGCAGACACAAGCGACAGCTGGGTCCCTCAGCCGAATTAAATCTTCTTTACTGGGCAGAAATCAGTCTTTGTTCACAGACTGTTTTACCACATCCACCGAGTCCAGTGGCTCACTGCAGCTCAGACAACACCCAGGATGTGGTTTTCAGGCCTATGTGCCAGGCCACTTTGCCCAAAGGTCACATAGGTCAACAGAGGCAGTGGCAGGTTCCTCATTTACCACCACAAAAGAAGTTGGCTAGTTTGTCAACTCCCTCATTCATTGAAAATGTGACCGCATTCTCTCTTTCTGGGATTCCATTGAGCCAATTCATAACCTTTGGATTCTTTCAGTATTAACATGAGAGTCTGAAAGAAAACATAGATCTGGAAAAGTTTATCATTAAGAATATTTGCTCTTTCAAGATCCTTCATTTCAAGTTCTGCCACAGACCCAATTCACCTCCTGTTTGAAAGTGATATGAAATGTCAGCATTCATTCCATCTAAAGTGCAGCAACTAAGGGCCAGAGTGGGAGAGAGGGAGCAGGGAGAGAGGAAGGGGCAGCCACTTGGAGGGATCAATTCGCGCAAACCTTTTTTTGGTCAATGTCCTATGTGTGTGTTTGCTCCCTCTGTGTAACTCATTGCATCAAGTGTTTGCAGAACACCTGTGCTGTGCTCGTGCCCATTACTGCCTCCGAACAAACACAGTAATGTTTGGAGTGTGATTCACACCTTGAAATCCACTTCCTTTCGGAGATACTAGCTCATAATCTGCACACTGAAGATAGGAATAACCCTGCACCAGTTTCTCGGTGTCCCAATCCTGTGAATGGAGAGGCGTGGGATTGCACGCTGGCAGCGTCTCAATACTCAAGTGCTCTTTCCAGAAGCTGCCTCTGACTGTGACATGATTTACATAAATAAAAAAAATGTATTTTCTTCTAGAAGCAAACATGTCACTGGCCCACAGCAGAACCTGAGGGAGGGGTGCTCCTGACAGATGGTCCAATCTGGCAAAATCATTCAGCCCTTGAATGAACACTAATCGAGCACCTACTATGTGCCAAGACTCTTGTACGTCCTGAGCACAGAGCAGTGAAGAGGACACTAAGTCCTGTGCATTCTGTGGTGCTTCCATGCCAATGGGAGAGACAGAAAACAAGTAGACAAATAAGAAGCAGAATTATTTCAACGAGTGATAAATATTATGAAGGGAGCAGAAAGCCCAGAAATGTGGTGTGGGGGTTGTATATCATGTCCCCTCTCCAAAGTAGGGACACAGATTCAGATCATAAGGAGGGCCTCCCACCTCCCGCCATTCTCAGAGTAAGGTTACGGGACCTTAGAAGACCTCAGGTGAAAGAACTGCATGGTCTCCTGCCAACATAGCCTCTCTCTCTCTCTCTCTCTCTCTCTCTCTCTCTCTCTCTCTCTCTACTCTCTTCTTAATCGATGGTCAGACTTCATAAGGACTGAGATGAATAATAGTGAGAAAAGGTGGGGCAGCTACTGGAGACTGCAGTGACACTGTGATTTAGTTCTGCGGCGGATTGCTCATACTTCCAAGGGTCATCAGCAGTAGCATAGCCACACCTTGGTTCCAGGAGAAAGCAGTGAGTGTGAAGCAAGCTGCCTGCAGCTCCAGGAAATGGATGGGCAGCGTGTGAACCGGCTGGCCCAGGGCTCCCACAGTGGGAAGCTGTTTACTCTCTCACCAAGGACAGAGAGTGAGACACAGTCGATCTGTGATCATGATCAGCCAGATCAACGCGTTCTAACTGACCCGCTTTCGTCAGTTTTTTTTCCCCAACTGTGGTTCAATGGCCTGTGAATGTTTGCTTTCAGAAGAAAAGAATTTTTTTATTTAAATAAATCATGTCACGGTCAAAGGAAGCTTTTGTTGCTTCAGAGTCTACTCCCCTCTTATTCATATTGTGCAATGAATTTTTTTTTAAATTGTATTTGATGCAGCCACTGTATGGCTCAGGCAAAATTTGCTAAAATATTATCTTAAGTGTGTTTTAACCCTTGAGTGACACAGTTTTCTGGGAATGTGTATTATTATGTTTTGAGATCCCCAAATTACGACTATTTGTAAAAGAAAAAAAATCAATCATTGCTTACGACACGCCTAAAAGAGATGGAAGAAATAGGAGACATGGCTTCTTTCTTAAAGGCACTTTAAATTTAGTCAAGAAACAGCTCAAAGACACAATCATAGGTAGCAATGTATGACCGTAGAAAATTAAGCTAAACTGTGAGATATAAACTAATAGGACTGCAGAGGAGGCTGGAATTAGCAAGTAGGGTTGATGGAAGAGGTGGGAACTGGAGGATGGAGTGGATTTAGGGAGGAAGACAGTCAAAGTATTTCAAGTGAGGGGAATAGCAGGGACACACCCAGAGCTGAGCCTAGGCTGGGAGACTTGCCTGGGACAGGGTAGGAATGTGAACAGATGCAGCTGTGCTCATTTGGGAAATGGTCTCATTTACAGTGTATTGCACCAGCATTTATACTGCACCAGCAATGGGCACAGCGGGTTTTATCAGCTACAGTTGCCTGACTGGAGACATTTGCAAGACTTTGGCTCATCATGACTTTCTATGCTCCTCAGTGGACTAAGGCAAATGGTTGCTGATTTGTAAATATTTGTTGTATTACAGTATCTTGATGGCTCATGGGGTGTATGGGTGAATTGGAACATAAAAACTGCCAGAAAATCTCCTTCCCCAACAGGTCACTGCAAGGTCATTGAGATGACTCCACAAATAGAAAAGCTAATATATGATGATATAATGATTCCTTAATTTCTACACATTTCCCCTCTTAGACCTACTAAGTTTACATCCTTCTGTTTGTGAACACCTCAGTGAAATGATTTCACTGGTTACCTTCCACAGAATTCGTTCTCAGTGCTCTCTTGGAAAAGATAAGGTCACCCAATCACTTTATTGAATATCCTATCAAAATGAAGGCTTTTTAAATTGTACTTTGTGCTTTTTATATTTATACATCTATATTTTATCCTGTAACCTTAGATCTTTGAAGTCCCTGGTAGAAATTCCATCTCTCCTAATGTTTGTTCACCACATTCACTAAATGCAAAGTTTGCCTTCAGTTATGGATTAACTCCTAACCAGGAAATAGTTTTTACAAAAATGAATGCGTAGATTTGAAGACAATAGGCTCCTTTCTCCCTTATGGCTTGAGTCACTTGTGACTGAGTGCCTTTGAAAATTCTAGAAACCTATAAATTTGAATTAGCCATGGATGTTAAAGAGAATTAGCAAAGCTCAGACTCTTGGGTTAAAAGATTCCAACTGAAAAAAACAAAAACAAAAAACAGGAATCCATTTCAAACCATAAAGAATGTGACTAGGACCCCTGGTGGCCAAACGTGTCCCTGCCTCCCAGTCCAGGCACTGGAGTCTATAGGAGCCCCATCTCTCCAGCTCCAAGAACAAAGGGAATGATGAGAGTTCGTGCAGCCCCCCTTTTCCCACCTTCCCCAGAACCACCACACACCTGATGTTAGCAAGTGTTCCGCTGAAGTGTAAGACCCACAAAAGAATTACGTTTTGTGGCTTTAAAGACAGATTTCTCCAAGGTAGCTTAGATCTATCAGAAGAAATGCACACCGAGAAGGCACTTAGGGGAGTTTTAGAACCTTCTCAGAATTCCATGTCCCAATTTTGATCGGGGCTGCCCCTGACATATTTGAAGCAAATCAATCTACAGAAACTATCTGTACACTGCATCTTGTAAAGTATATCAGCCTAGTATAATGGTACCCTTTTGGATTCCAGGAATATTACAGCAATTTGGTTCCTCTTAGAAATAAGGCATTATTGAATAGTATATATGTTCATAAATCATAAAGAGAACAGACCTCTTCTGTACTCTCAAAGCTTTTCTGTTTCTCCATCTGTAAAATGGGGATAAAAATAATAAACCTGTGGTATAGAATTACTGTAACGAGTGTTGAGCTTCTATAATGATGCCTGGCATGTTATCACTCAAAAAGATAGACGCTGCAACAAGGATTATGATAATTCCTAATTTCTACACATCTCTCCTCTCTGCACCTCTTAGCATCCACCCACATATTCTCAAGTAAACTTGGATAAACTATTAATTGGGCCAAAGAGAGCATACGTGTTTTAGCTGGAACCTGATATTCAGTATGAAATTTCCAGGCATCTTGGTCAGGGTCAGGGATGCAGTGGGAGTTTCATTGTCTCTTTTGGAGCCTGATGCGTCCGGTGGGAAGTGAGCTCCTTGATTATGACTCCTGCCATGGGTCAGCCGTTTTCAAAAGCATCCTGAGATCGAGTGAATTTAGTCTACGGATTTAAAATCACGGGCTGAAGAAGAGAGAATCCAAATGAATGTTGGGTCTTGCACGAACGTAGACTCACTGGAAGGTCTTTCCTCTCTCCCTCTTCTCTGCAGGTTAATCTCAGAGCCACGGACGCCAGGCTCATGCGTCAGCTGCTTGTGATCAACGAGAGCATTGAGTCCATCAAGTGGATGATCGAAGAGAAAGCCACCATCACCAGCCGAGGCAGCAGTCTCAGTGGCAGCCTGTGCAGCTTACTGGAGAGTCAGAGCACCTCCCTCCACGGCAGCTACAATAGCCTACACGATGGCAGCGACGGGCTGGATGGCATCTCCGTGGGGAGCTATCTGGACACCTTGGCAGATGATGTGCCAGGCCATCACACCCCGTCAGACTTGGACCAGTTCAGTGACAGCTCCGTCACGGAGGACTCCCAAGCACTGCGCAAGCATCCCAAATTGGATTCTGAATACTACTGCTTTGGCTGATGACCCAGGTTTTTTGCATGGGATTAGTGTGCAATTAACTTGTATTTATCTCTCTTCTCTGCTGCTATATTTTTGGTGTGATTTTTTTTTACATGATAACCTTTAAAAAAAAGAAGCATATTTTGAAACTGCTTGATGATATTTCTGTTGCTCCTAATATTTCTAATCTGGATTCATCTATTTTTCTCTTTTACATCTCTATTTTTATTTATTACAATGATTTTTTTTCCTCGCCCTTCTTTTCCAGTGGCACAAAGAAAGAAGGGGGAAAGAATAAGCAATAATTATGTTTTTGCTTTTGTTTTCAGAGCAAGGGGTCAGGGATGACATCAAAAACTTTGCTAAATTTTGCAATAAACCAAAGTCTGATAACAGCTAATTTTGTTGCTTGCATTCCTAAATGATTCAAAGTGTCATTGTCTAGAAGATACTGAGGTTTATTACTGTTTATAGAGTACACTGAACAAAATGTCTGGGACCAAGTTAGGCATTATTTCCAGTCCACAACTTCCTAGCATAAAAATCAACAAAACTGTTAGTCACATATTTTTATGGCAATCATTTGGAAGACTCAACGATATGAAATCTATTCAGTTCAACTTTGTATTCATAGTGTAGATCAGCACTTTCTCATCAGTGATTCCTTTATTTTTTTTATTTTTATTTTTTTTTAATCCTCACCCAAAGATATTTTCCCATTGATTTTTAGAGAGAGTGGAAGAGAGAGGGAAAGACAGAGAGAAACATCAATGTGAGAGAAACACATCGATTGGTTGCCTCCTGCATGAACCCTGACCAGGGCCCAGGCCAGGGAGGAGCCTGCAACGGAGGTACGTGCCCTTGACCAGAATCAACCTGGGACCCTTTGGTCCGCAGGCTGACGCTCTATCTACTGAGCTAAACTGGCTAGGGCTTCTCATCAGTGATGCTAACTGAAACGGTAGACTATGTTGTGTGGTAATATTTGATTCTCCCAAATTTCAAAGATAATTGAGATGAGATATGACGGTGATTAGAGGTTAAGCCTCAGGGGTGAGGAACATCTGGCCTGCAGGCCATATAAAGCCCATGAAATCATTTGGTCTGGCCCTGCTAAGGCATTAGGGGTGAGTTAATTAAATGTTTAACCAAATATAACAGCTAATTTTTAAGTTGATAACTTTGTATGTCCTTCGAATGATTTTATAAATACCCAAATGGCCTTTGGCTGAAAAATGGTTCCCCACCCCTGGGTTAGGGGGTCCTAAATTTAATTGTATTTTGAGATTTTCTTAACATTCACTTATATGCATTTTGCAATTGCAATCAGATATATAAAAACTTAGATAATACATATGAATGGATGGATAGATATATTACATGCAAAGCAGAATCACTATTCACTTATATGATATCATTTCATCCTGCGGTGGATAAATAATCTCTCAATTTTGATGTGATTTTATTAATCCTCCACATTTCCTTTACCTTAATGATTCCTAGTGAGTTAATCTGTTGAGATGTCAAACTGTATTTTGTAATGATACATGTTTCTGCACAAAATATTTTACAATATGAATCAAAAAGTATTCCTATTTAAACTAAAAAATGTCCATATTCAAGACATGGTTTCCCCAAAATGTCCTTTGTTACTGTGTACCTATAACACACTTGTCAAATGTATTGTTTGTTTCCAGGACATATATTATTCAATTTACGATTAAAATCTATAGGGTCTATATTCTACACTGGTCCTTTTTCATAAACTTCTTGATATAATGTTCATCACAACAATTTCATAATGTGGGATTGTCTCCCTTCTATGTTTGAGAAACTAAGATATACAGAAGGTAGGTAAATGGGTCAAATCACCCAGTCAGTGTCAGAACTGGGATTTGAATTTGGGTATGTCTTATTCCTAACAATAACACTCAGTAGACTCTTCTGTATCTATTGAACTTAAATAATAAAGTACCAATGAGAAAGCAAATATAAGCCGATGACAAGAAGAAAACAGTAACGAACCATTTCCCTTCCAATCACTGGGACCTGCATTTTCCAATTCTGAGCTTCCAAACCCTTTGTTGAAATCACATGTCCAGAGTCAGGTATGTGCCTATAGGCGAATCAGGCTGTTGACCCTATGCCAACTGTTCCTCGTGTACTTCACTCTTTCTGCTTTCTTTTACATTCCCTTAATGAAAGCTGGTTGGTTGGCTATTTTGTTTGGATTTAATCTGAAGTTAAAGCAAGCAATTTTTAGCGCCCATGACCTAGTTGAGAAAACATTCTTAGAAATATGACTGATAAATTTCAAACAGAGGGTAATGAAATATGTAACCCTATGTCTGCACCACGGCAAGGAGAGTGTCCCCAATAAGAGGGAGGTGGGCAGAGAGCGAGACTATATGAAGCATCAAGAGCAAATTCTAACCCCTTCAAAACCCAGCATTTGCCTAGATCAAGCCAGACACACGGAAGATGATTTGCATCCTCGGATCACAGTTTCAGATGGTAAATTCAATCTGGCAAATTTCCTTTTACACCCTCCTTTTTCCAATCTGCTTCCCCTGCTTTTGTCTATCCCATACCTTCTATAAGTCCCCCTTCTGTAGAAAGGAAATGAAAAAGCATAGGAGTATACTATGAAAGAAGTAGGTGGAATAGTTTTCATTTATACATTATATTTTAAAGAACCTGTAATAAACTTTGGCAGAGTATGTAAGGATAAAAAATTTTTGGCTCTGTGAGTTCCAATGTTTTATGTGCTTTACAGTTATGCCTACTTTTTTCAAAAGATACCAAATATGGACTCAAGTGATTTTGACATATGGAGTCACATATAAGCCAACAATGTTTTGATAGTTGAGTTTACAAAGAGGAGGGGAATATGAAGTTATACAACACTAATTAATTACTAACATATTCATTGGTCTCAAGAGAACAAATGCATTTTCTGCTAAAGAATCCCCATAACTAATGCCTGACCTGCAGCATTTGATGTTCGCGCTCTGTCAGCACCATAAGGAAATGGGGTAGAAACGTTAAGGCAATGGTGCCTTTCAAACTATTCTGCGTGGACTGAGTTGTGTTCTCCCAGGAAAACGGAATTTTCCTCCGTTACCTTAATCTCTCCATGTTTATAGACTTGTTTGTCTTATGAGAGGGAGATAATTGAAGGTAAGGAATTTAGACAGCTTAAAGCTAGTACATTGTGAGAGTTTTGCAAAGAAATGAACTCTAGATGACTAATGCAGAAGTCTTGACTGAACTTCAAAGAAACTCCAATATTTATACTACCAGTCAGCCCCAAATTCCATAGCATAGTTTTAAGTATTTGTCAAAGTTAAGAAATGCAGTGAGGAGTCTTTGCTGTTTGGCGGATTATAAAGGCCCTTGGGGTTCCATGAATAACTTCAATCAGGCATCTGAATCCCCAACTCATCAGAACACAAGCGTCCACGATGCCAAACTAAGTGGTTATTTTGGGGCACTCATCTTACTGGCATCTCAGCAGCAGCGAACACATTTGATCACTTTTATTTATTTATTTTTAATTTATTGCTTTTAAAGAGATAGTAGAGGGGGAGGGAGGGAGGGAGGGAGGGAGGGAGGGAGGGATTGATTTGCTGTTCCACTTACTTATGCATTCATTGGTTGGTTCTTGTATGTGCTCTGATCAAGAATCAAACCTGCAACTTTGGCAAATCAGGATGATACTCTACCCAACTGAGCTACACCAGCCAGGGCTGATCACCCCTTTCTTTACTTTCTTTTTT